TTTAAATGCTTAGTTTTATGATCAAAGCTCTGTAGTGTCAAAAACATAATGCAATGCAATATAATGATGATTGAGAGATGAACAAATAAATGTTTCTCAAATGCTCACATTTGAACATGATTTTTCTAAAATAATATGGAAATATGGATAATCAAGTAAGTTGCTTCAATAAAGTAAGTGTTCATCTTGAAATATTATTAACAATATAAAACAATATTTTCATGTTTATAAATATATTTCACAGCAAAAAGAAGACGCGTGATCCATGACCTGAAGGTGGACATTTTTACGCTTAGATTAAAAGGCCGTTTACTCGCTAAAAAAAGTATAGACGACAGAAGGCATGAAGTGCAAGACAGGTTTTTCAGCAAAGGTTTGTTGATAATCATGTTGATAATTTAGCCATAGAAATTTGTGTTTTAAATACGATACAGTAGGTTTTATAGGTTCAAACACTGTTATCGAAGTTGTTTTATGAGCTGAGAATATGACCATGCTAAGGTTAAGGTCAGGTCACTATACAATATACAGTACAATCGTGTAGTATACAGTAATACAGATCACTCCACATATTATCTGAACATTTATTATGTACAAAAAACAAAACAATCAAAAATTATTAAGAAGTTACATTTACATTTAGTCATTTAGCAGACGCTTTTATCCAACGCTAAGAAAAGAAAAAGTTGAACAAAATGAGCTCAACTGAACCTTTTCCAGCATTGATCCATTATGCCATTTAACACAAAGGATGTGTATGAATCACAACAAAATGAGTCATTTTAAATAATCCAAATAAGCTGACTGACAATATGCAAACAGAATTAAACAGAATTGCTTATGTTTGCCCAAACATGATTAAACTGAAATTGCTCTGACTCATTTTTTTATGTAAAGTACTTCTCAAGGAATGTATGTTTGAAAAAAGAACCACATGTATAGCAAATCATGAGTGCCTGCTCCAATATAGTGTAAAATTATCATAATTATCATCAATATTCCTGTATATCATCTATATACAGTATGTACTATATGCGCTTCAGTTCAACACGAAGCCTTTTAAAATGTGGCTGTCCACATGACTGTAAACTCACAAGGTTTCATTTGTTTGGCTGACGTCCTCTGTGGTGACACTCCTCATTTGTTAAACAGATGAATTCCTATTACCGCACTGTGATACTGATATGAACACAGGGCTTGTTTTTACTAATACCTTGTTAGGCAACAGATGCTCCTGAGGGGCGTATTTGTGTTCCTAAGAAGGACATAACTGTTATTTGTGGCAGACGGTTGTACTGATCTTTTGATGGTGAAACTGGCAGTGATGGCAAAACATCCGTGATGTCATATACTTTGCATTTTAACCCCAGCATGGGAGAAAGTGTCACAGATAGTAAAGTAGTTAAAGTAACAAACTTTGTAGTTTGTAGTCACTTTGACTACTTTACCCAACGTGAGAAAACATGTCACAGTTAGTCACTTTAACTACTTTAATTTACCCAACGTGAGAGACATTAATTAAAAAAGTTGAACGTTTTCACCGGAGAAATAACAACAGTTCATTCAAAGGGAAGGTTCACCCAAAAATGAAGATTCAGTCATTAATTACTCACCCTCATGTCGTTCCAAACCCGGAACACAAATTAAAATATTTATGATGAAATCCGAGAGCTTTCTGACCCTGCATAGACAGCAACGCAACTGACACATTCAAGACCCAGAAAGGTAGTAAGGACATCGTTAAAATAGTCCATGTGACATCAGTGGTTCAACCATAATTTTATGAAGCTATTAGAATACTTCGTTGTACGCAAAGAGAACAAAAATAACGACTTCATTCAATGATTTTTCTCTTTCATGTCAGTCTTCGACGCGTGTTCACGAGCGTGTAGTGCTGCTGATGCAGGAGTCGGCGTTCTGACAGATGCGCTGCGCCTTGTTTACAAGCAGAAGAAGATGCACGCTGAACATAAAACAGTCATCATAAACACGTCTGAAGATTTCAACAGAGAGGATGACTTACTATTTTTTGCCCAGCCTTACTTATTTGAACCAGAATATACAGACAATGAACTAAGAGAGATAGTTTCATAAAATTACGGTTGAACCTCTGATGTCACATGGACTATTTTAAAGGGGTCATATGATGTTGCTAAAAAGAACATTATTTTGTGTATTTGGTGTAATGAAATGTGTTTATGTGGTTTAAGGTTCAAAAAACACATTATTTTCCACATACTGTACATTATTGTTTCTCCTCTATGCCCCGCCTTTCTGAAATGAGTCGATTTTTACAAAGTTCATCGGTCTGAAAAGCTTGCGGCAACCACATGTGACGACCCCGGGCTGATGTTGATGATGGTTGATGTATTTCCTCAGCGACCAGCACGGATCAGCTCCAGGCATGACGAAGCGGATTTTTGGGTGAAATATCCCTTTAACATGTTGACCCAGCACCGCAAGTACATGTAGTCACAATGCAAACCTGCCAATCAATAACAGATTATTCAGCTATACTAACTTGTCTGCAAAATGTAAACAATAAAATCTATTAGAAAGCACAAAACAATTCATGAAACACCAAAAAAAGGAAATATACCACAATTTCAGATCATTGCTATTTTAATTAATCATTCATCTAAAACTACAACATTTGAAATTGTTTGAAATTTTTTTTTTCCCAATATTATCTTGTTTGCTTCTCTATAATGTTTGTCGATGCTTATGTTCATGTAATGATGTCTCTTCTCATGTGTATGCAGCTCAACGTGTGTTTTATTGTCCGGCTGCATAAAAACCACATTTACAGTAGGGCTGTGCAATTAATCGCATGCGATTGTCATGCGCATCTCATCAGTAAAGCCGGTTCCGTGATTAGTAGTAAATCTCCATCACCTGCTTTCAGATGGATCGGCATTTACTACACAGAGCCGTAGTTCACTGACAATTAGGCAATATCGCATTCATTATCGCAGGCGATTCGGCTTTACTGACGAGATGCGCATGACAATCGCATGCAATTAATTGCAAAGCCCTAATTTACAGGCAATTTTACAAGATTAACCATGAAAACCTATCCAAGCTCTTTTGCTTACTGAGGTCACAGTATAATCATCTAACAGTAAAGAATATGGCTGTTCAGAGTGACTGTCTCATCCCATTGTTCTCTTACAGCTGATTTGCATCCAGAGATGTGATTAACAAAAACAGAAAACCACAGGGGGAGGTAGGAAATGCTACATGCAAAATTATGTACCATCTATATCTCATGAAATGAAAAGTATTTGGAAAGACTCAACGACTCTTCACCAGGTAAGAAGTTTGTTTCAGTTATCTTAGAAGTACACTCTTAAAAAAATAATGTTCTAAAAGGTTTTTTTTTTTTCCCATTTTGAGTTCCCCAAAGAACCTTTGAGTGAGCAGTACTTAAAAGAACCTTATTTTTCTTAATGTGAAGAGCATTTTGAAAATCTAAAGAATCTCTTTCCACTATAAAGAACCTTTTGTGGAGTGGAAAGGTCAATCCATGGATGTTAAAGCTTGTTTATGGAATCATAGATGCCAATTATTTTTAAGAGTACAGACAAAAATAACCATGATTCAGTAAATGATTTTTACACTTTTGTTCTGGTTTAGTCTTGAAGTTTTGCATTGTGGCAAAAATATTTTGCATTGTGGCTGTGATAAATTGTTTGTGCTTTTTCTCATTTCCTTAAATCAGTTTGGATAACAGTATCTGCTAAATGTACAGTTCTGCTCATAAGTTTACACATAAGTTTGCAGTATATGCAAAATGTTAATAGTTTTAACAAAATAAGAGGGATCATAAAAATGGTGTGTTCGTCTTTTTAGTACTGTCCTGAATATGCCATTTCACATAACACGTTTACATATGAGCAGACTTATGAGCAAACCTATAAATGTACCTCACTACATTGGAACTGGGAGTTGATTTGTTTATTTCATCACAGGTTTATGGCCTTTGATTAAATGTTACCCCTTGCAGTATATGCAAAATGTTAATAGTTTTAACAAAATAAGAGGGATCATAAAAATGGTGTGTTCGTCTTTTTAGTACTGTCCTGAATATGCCATTTCACATAACACGTTTACATATGAGCAGACTTATGAGCAAACCTATAAATGTACCTCACTACATTGGAACTGGGAGTTGATTTGTTTATTTCATCACAGGTTTATGGCCTTTGATTAAATGTTACATAACATTTACTACATTCACTATTTGTATCACTTGGACTAAAACATAAAAATAATATAAAAGTTACAACAAATTGAATAATTCACAGGTGGGCACAGGTTTTTTTTTTTTCAAAAACATGTCTACGGACACACTTTACTGTAAAGTATTATAATAAAAGTTTGGATCAGTTATTCTTTGTAATTCATTCCCTTGCACATATCCACCTTATTTTTATTTTTTGTCTTTATTCATGCCAGAACAACTTACATAAACTTGAATCAACAAAGTATAGAACGAAAAAAGGACATAATAAGATATCCACCTTATTTTGCAACATGGAAATAAGCTATTTTCTGTGAATGTGTGAGACATTAGTCGATACAGGTAAATGACTACTAGAAGAATAACAGTGCAGTAAACAGTAAAACTATTTGTGCTGCAAACCAGTGTTTATAATTATGAAAGTTTGCTATATCAAGCAGCATAATGGACTGTTTTTGTACAGATATAATAACTGGAAGCAAATGACACCTGAAGCCCCACACAATTTTGTCTTAACTGGTAAACAGTTATGGACAATTATTCTGTATGCCATATTCTATACTTAAAAATTACAGGAAAACTTGCTTCATTCATTAAAAAAAAAAATTTGTAATCCTTTTAGGGATTTTCCTAAATGTTACTGACAGTTGTTATCATTTGCATTTGAGTTTAAAAGCAAAACATGGTGTATTTCATGTTTTACACCTTTCTTCTTGCTCTTCAGATGTTATCGAGGAACCTGGAGATCCTGTCAGGGATGAAGTGGAACATTCGTGGCCTCCTGCTTATTTTATCTGCCCTTTTCTGCATATCTGCAGGAGATTCCACAGGTAATACCCCTCCAAAACCTGTTTGTCCTCTGCACTCAACATCTGCATGCACAAAAAATGGAAATAATAAGAAGATGGATATGTTCATACTGGGTTCATGTGGTTTCAAAGGATACATGAAAACAGGTGATTCAAATCAGACACATTCATGAAAGGGAATGAGAATCAAATGTGTTAATTAAACTTCTATAAAATAAAAATCACTTTTTAGTGGACAACTTGTTTATCATTTGTCTGTACAGCTAGTTGCAATGGTGATAAATGGGGTATTTTACAGAGCAAAGCAGTGAGCTCACTTCAGTGCGGTTCTAATGAATCATCAGGTGAGGACTAAATTAAAAGAGAAAAGCTTACATACTTATGTACTTTTTTTTTCTTTCTTTTTTTTTTTTTTGCATGTCTTCATCACAAAACCAAATCAAAGCAAACCACAATGCGTTCAGTTTTAAAACAATTTTTTTTATATATATATAGCAAATGTTATAACATTTTTCAAAATTACAAGCATTAATAAAAACATTACTGGAACATTACTTTCGAATGTTCTCTGAACTTTCTGAAACAAGTAGTAACATTTAAAAAAATCCAACTGAAATGTTTTAAAAACACATTCTATGAACAATGTATAAATAATGTTTTGAGAATGTTATTAAAGACCAGCTAACTTTGAAATATATATATAGCAAATGTTATAAAATTGTTCAAAATTACAAGCATTAATAAAAACATTACTGGAATGTTCTCTGAACTTTCTGAAACAAGTAGTAACATTTAAAAATATTCCAACTGAAATGTTTTAAAAACACATTCTATGAACAATGTATAAATAATGTTTTGAGAATGTTATTAAAGACCAGCTAACTTTGAACGAATGTTCTGTTAACGTTACTGGAGAACATTTATTTGTTCATAACTTTGAGAGAACTTAAAATTTCTGAGAACATTCCCAATTAGCTGGGTTAGTTGTATGTATTTAAAATGATTGTTTTTTTTTGTTTGTTTGTTTCAACAGAGAACCTATTCAAAATCTCTGTATTTCCAATTGTTGAAAATTCATTCTGTACAGGAAACACAACACACAGTACAAACACATCCTGTACAACACACAGTAGTGGTGAGTTTGAGAGTATTTGGGCTGAGAGGCTTTCTCTTGCTAGCGCCATGGTCAATAATGAACCCTGTGGATTTACTTTAGAAATTCATCTGATTTATTATTTATTTTTAATAACATTATAGTATTAAAACAGAATAACCTTGTTTTCTAACCTGTTGTTTTGCAGACTGTGGTGTAACTTTATCAAGACACCCACCTTACAAACTCAACATAAGCAGATGTGTTATGCCCACATTTGTCTGTTTAATTGAAGGGAAATGTAGAAATGACACTTTGACAAACTGGATTACAAAAGGTAAATGAAAGATCTGTCATTTTGCATCCATGCATTTGGTAACCTGTGATTTTAGAAATGTATGACAACAATCTGTAGTTTTCTTTAAAATGTCCAGTTTCAATTTATTCACTACATACTTGCTGTATTACAAGAGTTCTGCTTTTTGCAGATAATATCTGATAGTTAGAAAAATATTTTTGTTCTCTTTATTAAAGGTTGTAACTGGACCCACCAAACGCCTACATATTTTGAGAATGTGGGATATGGTGAGTATATTTACAAAAACTTCTACGCATTATATTAATATTAAAGATATATTAGACTAATAAAAGAGTAATTCCTGTAAGTGGAGTGGTAAATCAATCTGTTGTAGCACAGTCAGTGACAGACTTAACAGACATTTTAACATTAACATTATAAATTATTTGCATAGTATACTGTACATGCAATATTATGGCTGTATTATTTGCATAACTTGTAATATTGCTCTTTTTTGTTTTATATTTCTAAGCGTGTAATATGACCTGCCTGAATCCCAGTCAGACGTGTAAGAATGCACAATATGATTTCAGCTGTAAAGGTAAGAACGTGGTATAATATGCCTATTTTTGCTTTATTCACTGACTAAATGTGTCATTAAAACCCAGTGCTGCATATTGCTCTTAATTATTTACTTATTTTTCATTTTTATGTTTTTACACATGTGATAATGTAGGTGAAGAAGGTAATATAAACAGTATTGTGATCCATAATAAAACTGCAACTTGTTATAAGTGTGGAAGTCCTCTTCAAGATACGCCAAAAATTAAGGCACCCTCAAATAATTTCAATACTAATAAAACAGAGATAGATGCTGCGGCAGCTGCGTAAGTATTTTTTTCTTGTATGCTTTCAAGTCTAGTAAGGTTTTTAGTGGTATATTATTTGTTATAAAATGTATGACCATATTCAGGAAGTTTCCATGATAACTTGCTGCGCTTAATAATGTAATAGAAATCATTTTAAAAATATGGGAGACTGGGGCTTTCCACAAGGGATTTATCTCATCTATCCCTGTGTCATATCTGCTGTCCCAATGACTGTAAACCAGTGCTAATTTTGACAGCAAATTTTGAATTAGTTTTAGTCATAGTCTTTTGACTAAAATGCCATTTAGTTTTAGTCATATTTTAGTCATCTGAATTGTTTTTAGTTTTAGTCTAGTTTTAGTCGACTAAATATCATAAGATTTTAGTCGATTAAATCTACAGTAACTTTAGTCGGCTAAAATCTAATGGGTTTAGTTACAGTGCATTTAATTAAGCATTTCTCTAAAATTTCCAAACTCATTATATAGGTTTGATATTAAGGTTTTATCATGATAGACACCGATTTAACTGCGGTGACACACAACATGCCTTTGTGTTAAAATGAGATAAAACCACTTCTCATAAAGAACAAGAACATGGTCTTCTTTTTAATGAAATACCAATGGTTATATAGGCTAATTATGCATTCTTTATAGCAACATGTTTACCATATTCTTCATTCTTTCAAGCAGACATATTTATTTCTATAAATAAATTTAGATTAATCTTTAGGGCTACTAAAATTTTCAAGTCAAGAGCAGTGCGTGATTTTCTGTCTTTCTTTTGCTGCTTGATTAACATCAATGGCTCGGACAATAGCAACTAAATTAGGCTGTTATCCCTTTAAAACCGAATGCACAGCTGCAATGGAAGCAATGTACTGATACATGTTCTCCCTACTGTTTATGTTCACTTAAGATGTAATCAACTGTGTTTACGTGAATACTCGTCAAAACGGACAGTTCGACATCATTTTGTGTGTAATTCTGCGTTCATGCGACGCGAGAGAGTACTTGTGTGCTGTGAGACGCGCTTTCTGTGTGTTTATGCTTCAGTGTGTGCGCTCAGAAAACCGGACCGAACTGAGTTCTCTCTTGCGTCGTCAGATTTATCCATATGTCTGCTCTTCTCTTACTCCCACATATTGACATTTTTGAACGTTTTATG